GCTCCAACCCCGCCCACACACCAGCTCCAACTCCGCTCACACACCAGCTCCGACTCCGCCCACACACCAGCTCCAACTCCGCCCACAGGACAACATGTACTGCAGAGACCCCTACTGAAAACTTACAAACAAATAATTCGTTGTAAAATCTGAAACCAAATGTAAAGTTTTCCCTGACTTTATCAAACGGACCAGTTTGAAAGAGTTTACTTGATACAAGCATTTTTACAAGTACAAAATACCTTGATACTCAGACTTTGTACAAAGTATCGTCAAGTACCCAATCTGAAGTACTTGTCCTCGGTTAGAGCAAAGCTGGTGTTGGAACGCCCCTACAATCCTGAAATGTTTTCAGGCTTGAGCCTCCCCCGCAGATCTGTGGTCTCCATGGGATTTTCCTGGTTAAATAAAGGTTAATAAATAATAAAATGCGGGTCTGCACTCAGTGTACGCAAAGTATTTATCTGAATCCACCAAAACCCAAGTGGAAGCTCGGGTCATGTGACTGACCTACATTAGGCTGGCCACCGTGTGTGTAGGTACATAAACGTGTTGCGATCCGGTCACGAGTTTTTATTTTAAGAACATTAATCGTTGATGTTAGGAAAATAAATTGTGTGGATTTTTTTTATTTTACTTTTTTTTGTCCCTGTTGTACGACTTTTCATTGAGTACCTTTAGTGAAACTATCAAATAATTTTAATTGGTTGTACATCCACAACTTATTAGTTTTCGGATAAAGTTTTTTTTCACTTACTCGGAATTATATAATTTTTTGTTTGCTGAATTTCCTGCTCATATATTTGTGTTTTAGGAGAGCTCACCACCACAGCCTTCCTGGACCGAGAGCAGAAGTCTGAGTACATCCTGATAGTCAGAGCTGTGGATGGAGGGGTTGGTCCGCAGCAGAAGACCGGCATCGCCACGGTTCTGTTAATCTCTTCTTCACCATCATGTTTCTGCTCTCTGTTGCTGATGAAATGTGTTGAAGAATACCAACCTGAGTTGTTAAAACGAAAACAAGCTAAAAGCTAACCAGAACAAAACTAGGCGTACAAAACTAGATAATACTTCAAAGTAACAGAGGTTAGCTAAAGATTTGACAAGGTTAGATGGAAACTAATAGCAGAATGTTAGCTAAAATCTAACGTCTGCTCAAAGTAGCTATCGACACATTAGCTAAAAGCTATCTAAAAAGTACAAAGTTATGTAATACTTAAAATTAACAGAGGAAAATAAAAACTAGCTAAAAATATGACAAGGTTAGATGGAAACTAAAAGTAGCAAAAGTTAGCTAAAGGCTAACAATGTCTGCTCAAGTATCAACAGACTAGCTAAAAGGAGCAAAAGGCTATTTAAGGGAAGTATAAAAGTATCTAATGCTTAAAGTAACAGAGTAAATGTTACCTAAAATATGACAAGGTTAGATGGAAACTAAAAGTAGCTAAATGTTAGCTAAAGGCTAACAATGTCTGCTCAAAGTAGCTATCAACAGATTAGCTAAAGGTAGCAAAATGCTATCTAAAAAAAGTAGTTATCTAATACTTAAAATTCAAAGAGGAAAGTGAAGATCAGCTAAAAACATGACAAGATTAGATGGAAACTAAAAGTAGCTAAATGTTAGCTATAGGCTAACAATGTCTGCTCAAGTATCAACAGACTAGCTAAAAGCTAAAAGGAGCAAAAGGCTATTTAAGGGAAGTATAAAAGTATCTAATACTTAAAGTAACAGAGWAAATGTTACCTAAAATATGACAAGGTTAGATGGAAACTAAAAGTAGCAAAATGTTAGCTAAAGGCTAACAATGCCTGATCAAGTATCAACAGAGTAGCTAAAAGCTAAAAGTAGCAAAAAAGCATCTAAAAAGTACAAAGTTATCTAATACTTAAAATTAACATAGGAAAGTAAAGACTAGCTAAAAACATGACAAGGTTTGATGGAAACTAAAAGTAGCAAAATATTAGCTAAAGGCTAACAATGTCTGCTCAAGTATCAACAGACTAGCTAAAAGGACCAAAAGGCTATCTAAAAGAAGTATAAAAGTATCTAATACTTAAAGTAACAGAGTAAATGTTACCWAWAATATGACAARGTTAGATGGAAACTAAAAGTAGCAGAATGTTAGCTAAAAGCAAAAATTATCTGCACTAACTATCAATCAACTAGCTAAAAGTATCAAAAAGCTTAAAAAATGCTGAAAGACTTAAAGTTTAGATAAGAACTAAAAGTAGCAGAGCAGTCACTAAAACGGCTAACTAAAAGCTGAAAACGGCAGAATGGTAGCTACATCTAAATAAAACTAGCTATTAGCTCCACGTAGCAAAAGGCTAGCTAAAAACTACATGTAGCCTTTGAAGACGAAAACAGAGCAAGTTTGAGAAAGCAAAGATTATAAAAACGTCTTTAAAACTATAAGTAGCCGAACATTTTGCTGGTTAACCACATAACTAAATAACTTATGAATAATGAAGCTGTTAATGTTAAACGAGTTAATTAAACATGTTCTGGTTCTCTCAGGTAAACATCACCATCCTGGACATCAACGACAACGCTCCTGCGTGGCAAGACGAGCCCTACAACGCCAACGTGGTGGAAATGAGTCCCAAAAACACCGACGTCATCTCAGTGAGTCCAGCCTGTTCAAGCTAACAGCTAAAGYTAACGTTTGCTGTGGTACCTGATTCAATATGGCCRCCACAGCTATTCGACATGATCCAACATACAAAAGAACGACCCAGGTAGATAAAAGGACGTCCGTCAGATGAAAACCAGGATGAATTTGTGAGTAGACGTGATGAACAAAGCTCCATAACTGCTCAGGTCATCAGAAAGTAAAGTCAACTATCAGCCGAAGCTCCCTCCATCGTCCTGCTGGTGTCTTTGGCAAATGTGTTGTTTGTGATTTCGCCCTGATTGTCCATTAATTAAAGAGGCGTCATTGAGTGTAATTAAGGGAGTCTGATTSCTAATTAAAGCGTAGCCTGCGGTTGTATGAATTGCAAATTATTCAGCTGCCAGGCAGAGCAGGAAGTGAGAAGCGGCCTTTCAGAGTAAAAGCGTGAATCTGGAGTTTGTCTGASCTCATCCCTCAGTTGATTTTTCTTCACGGCGCGTCCTGCAGGGCCATGCATATACTGTACGGGAATTTCTCAGACGCCGGCGCCCCCCGAACCATTTTTCAATGAATCGGACCATCCATGCTTACAGTTCTGTAATTGGCCCCCGTGCCGTTCTGGTCCGACCAGCGTTTCTATGGTGACCAGAGGCCCACCCGCTGAGTCCTGCTGGAGGTGTCCAGTGAGCCGAGGAATTTAGCTGCTGTGCCCGGTAGAAGGATCAGCCCACTCAAACCCCACTGTCACTGCTCTTAAATTCAGCTTCTGACACACACACACACAAACGTGTCCACCTATACTTATGAGGACATTACATTGACTTCTGTTCAATTTCTACAGCCTAACCCTGACCCCTACCCTAAAACTAACCTCACAGGTACCTACCTGACCCTAAACCTACACCTTTTTTCTTCCTCCATCATTGTACCTCACTTCTCATCATTAGCTGCATTTCCATTGCAAATGTGCGCAAAACTTTGTCGATATTCTGTTAATGTTGAAAAAACACAGTCTCACAACTGCAG